ATGATTAAAATCTTAATTGCTCTTGCCCAAATCAGAATTATTCAGGAGGATAAACTTGGAATAGGCCCAAGTTTGGAATATTTTCCTCCTTTATGTTGAATTTGTTTTCACTGTAAAAGGAAGAGTAAATGTCTTCAGAAGGCTGAGGTGGGTGGGTGGGCAGAGGTATTGTCTGGGGCTATGAGAGTGAAAGACTGGACCATGCTGCATTGTGGTTTTTGTGCTTTTAGGGGAATTATCACATATGGCTCTTTCCTCCTAAGAATATAAGAAATGTCAGACTCTGGGTCAGATGCATGGACTATTCAGTGCAGTATTTTGTTGTTGTTAGTTTTTTCTGTCCATGTACCACTGGCTATTTTGTGTGAGAGCATGTCTTCTGTGATGCCATTCTCTAAATGTTAGGGGGTGTATCAAACATCCTGAAGTCCTCTCATTAGGAACAGCGTCCTTTCATTCGATTCAATGGAACTGGTGTATTGAGCCCAGCAGGTCAGTCTTATGTGAATGACCAGTGACTGCTTTGTTAATTGCAAAGCATATTTTGCCAAATGATACCATGGACAAAGACATGTCAAAAAAATTTTCAATTCTTTAACCTCCTGATATATATATTATTTTATTTTATTCAAGGTGAACTCACTGAAAATCAGTGGAGTGAGCTATGGCCATATTGTTACAGGGAGACCCAACATTGGGTTCTGAAAATGGGGAAGAGTGGGATTAACTGTGGCATTTGCTAAGATATGATGAACCTGAGGAACTAAATTAGGCCAGTATGTGATCAGGGGCAGATTTAGCTTTGAGGATCAGGAATGTGGAGGTTAATTGTGGAATCTAATGGCCTAAGGTTTGGGTGGAGCCTACTCAACTTAGCCAGAGCACATTTTGGGGGGGTATTTATTTTTAAATATATCTTTATTGTTGAAAGTACTATAGATGTTCCCCTCCCCCCCTCAATGACCTCTTCCATCCCGCTCCAACCCCCTATGCTTTCACTGCACTATTGTCTGTGTCCATTGGTTATGTATGTATGCATACAGAGCACAGTTTATACTTATTGATGCTTTTAGACAGATGACTCTTTTTTATGTTTCAGTATATCCAGATTGTTGTCTTGCTGATTAGGCTCCCAAGTAAAAGTGAGAACCTTTTGTAGTGCCACTAGTGGATTACAGGACTAACACTTGCCTTATAGACAGACTAGGGTATATTCAACTTTGACTCTGTAATTGTGAGGAGTATAATATGGACCATGTATTATAATAGTGTGGGATGAGGGTAGTGTTTTTTAATGCTCCTGTGTTGAGAGTTATTGCATTAGAGGATAATAGTTTTAAATGAAGCCACATTTCTAGCAAGGGACCAGAAACCCAGGATAAATTAAATCTGCAGACAGTCCAGAAGCTTCATTTTAACCATTATTTATCATCTCTTCTCCTACCAAACCTTTTATTATGTAGCATAATTGATTAATTTGCATGTATCTCTTCTCTCTGTGCCCACATGCTCTCTGATACAGGAGTGAACAAATAGAGAAATGGACAAGAGAAATAATGAGATGGGGCTGAGGCTAGGTGGAGTTGGGGATGCATAATCTCCAAACTGAATAATCAACCCCAGAATAATCAAGATATAGTTTAGGGTCCTAGCATTAATCTTGATATTTAATCATTCTGGGTGATGTTAAAAACAAAAGATTGTATAATAGCATTAATAAAAATCATTTGCTATGGAATGGTTCAGAATAATATGCTTTCTTTTTTAGCAGGAAATATGAATCTACTGAACTGGTCTTAATGTTCCCTCAGCACACACAGATACAGCTTGGTTTAATTCCACATCCTCTTAACTATAAGTCCTACATTTAATTTACTACCATTCTAGTTGATTTATAGCTTTGCTTAGCAAAAGTAAAGTCTTGATTAAAAGGATATTATCACAGCTGATGGACCTTGAAAGCATTTTTTTCTCAGATCTTCTAATAATTTTGAAAATGACCTGCATAAGGCTAGATTTGCAAGGTTCCCGTTTTTGCCCACCTGGCTGTCCTTTGGACACTGGTAATTAGGGGTGTTTTTGGTGATGTGGTTTTCCCATATGCTACCTTCTTATCCATCCTGAGAAATGGAAAATGACTGTGATAGTTTTAGAGCAAGTTTGCTTCAGGGAATCCCCATTCCTGGTTAGCTGATCTCTTCTCTAGTTGATAATTACAACTATAGCCTTTGTCTCTTGAGGTGCTGCTGGGCTGACGAATCCTCCAATATGTCTAAGGGAAGATTCAGTTAGTATAAATAAGGGTTGTATTTTGGAGTTGCAGCTGTGACAGATACCTCCCTCAAAAAATACAAAATTAGTTTTGGGGCTCATTTCAGTGGAGATGACTTAATTTGCAAAGCCAGTGATTTCCACAGGTTGGCCAGATTTGGTTATTCTCCACAGCCGGCCATTTTCCACTCTCCTGTTTTGATTGTGAAGTATGACTATTTGGTGGCATCTCTGGTTCTAGGAGTAAGAAAAATGCTGTTGCTCAACAGGTGACAAAAAGCTATTACGCTTTGATCCTATTTAGAGTATTATTATCATGTCCCTATTCCACTTGTTGAAAAAAATGAGCCACTCTAGTTTGGGCTTTATATCTTTGCAGAATATATTTTTGAGCTATGAAATAAGTTATTTCTTACAAAGGATTCACTTTAAAATCACCATACTTGCATTCAATTCACAGGAGCTTTCAATTGTTCAGAATATATGAACACAGAAAAGAATTTTAAATGGTAAATGTGGTACTAATTCAAAATGGGAGAACTTTGATTTTTTTAAAATCAAATTTGATGTTGGGGCCTTCTCAAAATACAAAAATACATCCATTTTATTTGTGAATACATCAATTTTTATTTTGATCAACATAGCTTTCCAGATTGGTCTTATTGAGATATCATTCATATATCATACAATTGGTCTTAAACCTCTTTTAATTGTTAACTTACTCGGCTATAAAATCTCTGAAGTTTTAGTTTAAGAGCACAGAGTGTACTCCTGTGAAGAAAAGATTTATGTTTCTAAATCACCTTCAATTTGCCTAAATCACTTTTTTTCCCCCAATACATAGCTACAGGTTGTCAGAGCTCGACTGATTATTAGAGGTTATCTAGTTACCCTAGAATAAAAATCACTGGGGAGTTATATTTTTTAAAAATTATACTCGCTGAAACATGTAACCTCCCAAAATTCTGATAAACTTTGCAGCCCCCCATTTCCATCCTATACCAGTTAAACACCACTGACGTTCTCTAACACTCTCATCCCGCAGGTAGGGAAACATTCTTCCTCTCCCGGTTTTTATTTGCAACCTCAATAAGCACCAAAATTCTTTTTCAATTTAACATGACAGGTTTTTATAAATTGAGTTGGAGATGCAAAATTCACTTCAGTGAATAATGGGAACATAAATTATTTATGCTGTATATTTAAAAAACAAAGTATGATGGATGTGATATTGTAAAAAGAAAAATCTCAAAGTCACTGACTAGAAAGTCAGTATACAGAAACCGTTGCAAATTTGTTATTGTCTCAGTACTGTGTCAGGCACTGGGGAGATTAGTAGATGTCCTTTATCCTGAAAATGCCTGATAGCTGAGCACTCATATTTCTTTTCAGCTGTCCACAGTCATTTCCCACAGGGCATTGGAGGCCCGATTGTGTTAGTTTTTAAACAGCTGCCCTGATTGCATTTTCAGCAAAAGGATATTCATAAAAATACTGATATTAAATAGATAGAAGAAATAGCCACTGAGATGGGCTTGAATAAAAAACATAAACTACTCAGAAGATCTGACAGAATCTAACGGATGGGTGGATGAAGACCTGGGGGGAAAATGAAATGGATTTTCCAGAGGACTTTTTATTTCCTGGAAAATTGGAAATTTTCAGCCTAAGGGCAGAAGAAGAAAAAGGAGTTTTTATGGATCCATTTTCATTTCTAGACCTACACATCCATGCAGACAGAAAGAGTAAAAGTTTGTGCCTTCAGTCATCTGCTCTGAAAAGAAGCCTCTTTCCTTGGTAAAAAGGTTTACCTGGCCTTACATCTTCCCTCCAGTACCTTGGATGAACTTACACTCCACTTGGTAGCCATTGGTCTAAAGCAATTGATTTGGGGGAACGGAATGGAATTGTTAAGCTTTTGAAATTTTATTTTTATGATCAGTGTTTTAAAACATTTTACTTTTTAATGCTTTTTAGCTGTATATATACTATTCTATGTAAGGTATATGGGGAAAGGAAAGATTCCTTTTAATTGGATGTTAATCAAAGAAAAAGTATATTACTTTTTAAAAACATTAGCAAATACTTGTCCACACTGACTTGGAAGACTATCTTTTTTAGGGAATCACCTAAAGTTGGTCTGTTTCACATAAGAATAAGTTATAGTGGTCTCTGGTTAGTATATAAGAAACTCCAAAAATGCCTTGCCCTAAGTGATCAGAAATTTTTATTGCTCTTAAGTTTATCAGTAGTGAATGAGGGCAATGATGCAGATAGACTGAGGGTTTGTCATTGGTCCACTTTAAGCCATAATACATTTTTTGTTGTTGTTGTTGAGAAACTATATGTAATGTGTGATGATGTAGAATCTGGTTGTTGTTGTTTTTTTGTTTTTGTTTTTTTCAATCTGATCTGTATTGCTTATCTACATGTAACTTAAGGTTTACATATGTCTTATTTACACATAGCCCCAGAATGATTGTTCTGGTTCCAAACAGAATAGCATATTCCTGCACATGTTGGGCACATACAGATCAGTGTTTTCAGTCTCCATGGCTATCTTAATGGCTTTCAAACCCAAAGTCAGTACTTTAGAAAGAGAAAACCAACATGCCCTTCTAAAACCAGGGGGGAAAGGAAGAACTACATTCTCTTGAAGTTAAATTATAACTTTTTCTTTCTGCTTCTGTGAAGAAGACTGTACTAATAAAACTGCCAATTTCTTTCAGGTGGGTGTACATGGCATTAGAATAGAATTCATCAATGAAAAAGGATCAAAACGCACCGCCACCTACCTACCGGAGGTTGCAAAGGAGCAAGGTCATTGTGCTTTATTTCATATGATCTGGTGAAGAATTTAAACAAATATAAAAATTGAAATGCAATATCTGACCTTGCAGTTATGTCTGATAATTGATCAATGTCAAATTATAAGAAATGACTCTTCCGTCACTGCCACTGCAATGTCTGAATGAAATCGGTTAATTACTCACACAGAAGTTGAATCTCTGCACTCAAGTTTGACAGCAAAAATATACCCACTGTTTGCTTTCAAAAAAGCAAAGATTTGTAAAAGCTAGGTGTTATTTTAGGCAATAGTTTGCTACAAATTTGAAGAGCCATTTTTCCCATATTCCATTGTGCTACCGCCTTATGTGGTATAAACAAGCCTTTGGTTTGACAGCCAGCCACACAGTTCATTGTCAGTATCAAACATTTCATTCTTAAGTGGTTGTCATTACTCATTTTGCTATTATTAAGATTGCAGTTTTCCCATTAAGGTGAGGAGCATTGAGAATACATGAAGTAGTGTTTTACATACTTGGTCTGCACTTCCTAATCAACAACCATTTTTCTATTTTTGCAGATAAAACACAAACCTTTATGAACCACTCCACTGTAACACAATAACTTTTTACTCTGTAGTATTTTGTCCTTTATAGCCACTACTAAATTCTAGTTTCATGTTAGTTGAAATGAATATTTCTTCTTCACTTTATGGAGCTTCTTTTCTTATCAGAAAGAATTTGTGATTTGGCTTTCCTGTATTTATCTCATAAATATGTGAGATATATAACAGCAAAATTTAATATATTAAACCACCAAACAAGAGATTTAATCTTTAAGGCAGCTATCTGAAGATTTATTTCAGTTGCTTTCAAAAAGGTCTTAATCCTATAGTTTCATTGACTTTGTAAAGCATACATAAGACATAGAGGGCCTCGGATATGAATATACCTTCCCATGTCAGAACCAATAAAAGTGCCCTTAAATATTGCACCCAAATACACTTGATTGATGACAGAAGATACCTTTAGAAACAGTAATTACCATGAGTTAGTGTGGGAGTCCTAAATACTACTGAGTTAACACAATGACGTTAAGGCTTTTCCCTCCCTTTTAAAGATGTCACTGTTAGAAGAGAGTACATTGTTTGTGGTTTGTTACTGAAACATGACATGTTTGTTACTGAAACATGACTTAGTAGTTACTGCCAGCCTCCTTGCCTTCAAATGTGGTTGAGATTAAGAAGCCATTGTTGTTAGCCATTGTGGATAGCTAGAATTTAAGGTGTGAGGTGGTGAGCCTCCTTCTGTACAGGATGAAATCTTAGCTCTTCTGTATAATTTTTAGGACCAAAGGAGTTGATGGCGTTGTAGAAAGCCATTTTGTATTTAACCAAAGGTGCTTTTTCCATGTGCTTGACTGCATTTTATCTGGTCTACTCTCCGCAGGATGGGACCATATTCAGACCATAGACTCCTTACTGAGGAAAGGAGGATACAAAGCTCCAATTACTAATGAATTCAGGAAAACCATAAAACTGACCAGGTACAGAAGGCATTTTCTAGTGCAAGGGTAACCAGTACATTTTGATGCATATGCCTATAATCTTTTGATTTCTTTGGTCTCTCTAACTGTATTTGCTTCTCTTTTCTGAAACAGAGAGGAAATGAATGGCAGGGCCATACTGAGGATGGATACAATGGAACTATGCTTGGCAGTAAAGCCTGTAAAATGTATGAGCCCATCCTTCCCTTGTTTAGCTCTATGTGATTACTCTGGCTTTATATGAGCAAATCCTGTGGGCCTTCAGACTACATTATTGAAGAAAGTTACCTGAATTAGCTATTGGCTAGCTTTTGATGTGGCTTAGCAGAACCCCAGGATTCTGATAAGCAGTGCTCAAATTTGAATTTAGCCTTAGAATTTTGGCAGTGATAGAAGTCTCCCATGAAAAATACAATTAAGCTGGATTCACAAATGTGAAATAAATGTCTGCATGGGGTAATAGGAATACTTATTTTAAAAGGAAAATATCAAAATTTTAGGAAAACTGATTGTGTTTTCCATTTATTTTAATTCCACAAAATCACATCAAATGCTTATGGTCTAAAAATGGACTTTTCTCAGCTCTGAGGAGTTACAAATTTGAAAATGCCTCCATTTCTGTTCTCTCAGAGTTCACAGTCTAATAGAAGATCATGTACAAAAACGATTATTAATATAAGGCAGAATGTGATGGATGATGTGAGATCATAAAATAGGGCAATAGAATTCCAGGAGGGGTTGGAGGTAACAAAAAATTTTAAAGAGGAGGTAGATTTGAAGCTGGACTTAAAAAATAGGTAGAATATTTGACAGGCAGAGAGTGGGAAGGAAAGGGATTAATTAAAGGGAACTTTGTGAGTCAACACATGTAGGTGGCTTAGTACCCAGAAAGTTCTGAGGAATGTTCAATAGTCCAATTTGGCTGGTCTTTCAGTGGTCATTAGAGGAAAATATGGCAAAGAAGGTATGTTGGGTCAGATCATAAGGTCTTGAGTTCCAGATTAAGAAGTTTAGACCTGATTCTATAGGCAATCATTAGCCATTGAAGGGTTTAAAACAGATGGATTTGGGGAAGTGTAAGATTAGAATTGGAAGCAGGAAAATTAGAAGACATTGCTATTATTTAATAATCTCTAGCAGCAATCCACATGGGGTGAAATGGGAGGTGTAATAAGAGCGATGACAGTCAGATGGGAAGAAAGGAGGAAACAGATAAGAAAATATTGTGGAAGAAATGAAAGGAGTTAATCATCTTTCAGAAGTAAGAAAGAAGAACAAATCAAGGCTTTACTCTGGATAAAGGGGACCATGGTAATCCCTTCAACCAAGAGAGGAACCATAGGAGGAGAGTCACATTTATGCACTGATTCTAGATTTCAAGTGCTTCCTGTGATATTTATATATTAATGTCTAGTAGGTTACTGAATGTGTGTGTGTAGAGCTCATGGACAGAGATAGTGATTGGGGATCATGTGTAAAGAGGACATAGTTGAAGCTATGAGGATAGGGTTCATTGAGCAGGGATAGAGCATAGGGTCAAAAGGACTGAAGGTAGAAATGTAAGAAAATCCTATAAGGCAGGAGTGGGATGAGTAGTCCTAAGGAGCAGTCTGAGAGGCAGGGGGAGAACCAGTGGAGTGTGGAGTTGTAAAACCTGTGGCACAAGAGAACTTCAAAAAGGGAGTGCTGAACAGTACCACAGTGGAGATGTCGAGTAGGAAGAGGAGTGGCCTTCTGAAAGAGTAGTGTCCGTGGAAGTGGGACAGCAGAAGGCAAGCTGCACTGAGCTAAGGAGTGGTGTGAGATGAGAAAATACACATTACTCTTGAGAAGTGTGGCATTGAGAAAGCTTCTGTCCACAGGAAAACAGCGTTTGGGATACCGGGATTAAGAAAAGGTTTTTGTTTTGCTGTTTTTACTTAATGGCAAGACCCTGTGTGGACAGAGGAAAAGGAATGTTAAAGGAGGGAGCAATGGATGATCCCAGAAAAAGAAGGTAGTCAAGTGAGTGAGTTGCATACATGATGGTTAAAAGGTTGGCTTTCCCCTGTTCCTTTCTGTTAGCAAACTGGGGAGCAGAGGACAATAAAATTTGTACAATTTAAACAAGTAGTAGAATGGAAAGGGCACTAGACTCAGACTCTGGATTCCTGGGTTCTGATCTCAGCTTTGCTACTTATTAGTTGTGTGACACTGGGCAGGTCACTGCTCCTCTCTGGGCCTATGTTTCTTGACCTATAAAATTATCTTCAAGGTCCCTCCTTGCTCTGACACTGTCATGTCACCTATTTCTTGAAGTTAACTTTGTCTTTTCCCTGACTTTCTTTCAGGTACCGTAGTGAAAAGATGACCCTGAGCTATGCTGAATACCTTGCTCATCGCCAGCATCATCATTTCCAAAATGGCATCGGGCATCCTCTTCCGCCATACAACCATTATTCCTGACACTGAGCCGCACAACCAGTCACTGGGCCTCTCTGCAGACCTCTTCCCAGGAGACCCTTCCCCTTCTTGGTCTAGCTATCTCTTTTACTGTACCATTTTATGATGATAGTTTCCGTTGCCATGGTGAAACTTCAACATAGTCTATTAAGATCATCATGGTAACGGGTAGGAAAATGGCATTTGTTAAGAAGATCCTGTTTTATTATTTTAGATCATTGATTCTTTTTGCAGCATATATCAGTTTGGGGGATTTCTTTCCTTATGATATATAGAATTTTGCTTAGCTATGTCAATCAGATTTCTGTCTGTCTATCATGCTTTCCTTTCCTGACTTCTTTCCTTCATTCTGTCTTGCTTCTCTTCCTTCCTTCCTTTTTTTTTTTTTTTGTTTGTTTGTTTGTTTGTTTTGACTGTGGATGGAAGAAATTGTGCAGTTTTTAAGGATTTAATTTAGGTTTTTCTTTAGTTTTCCTCAGTAAGATAGATAATTTTTCATAGCTGAGTTTGGGAATAATTCATATGAAATTCAGGTATTTGTGTATTACTCATGAATTTGTCTAAAATTAATTTTGCTATGGAGCTTAGTATGTGGGTCTCCATTCCTTAAGTATATGTTTTTACCATGGTTAAAATATATGAACTTTAGTTCTAGTATAGAACATTTGAAGGTCCGTGATAGGGCTTGTCACAGAGAGTGAGAAATCATTTATGCCTATTGTGCTGGTTATCATAGGACAGACTGCCTAATAATTTTGTAGAACCAATTTACAAACTAAAACACTGTTTTAAGAAAATACAAGCTACCTTTCAAATATGCTATAGGAATCATTTTGAAAAGCAGCAAATATCAGGAAGACAGCATATACAGAATTTAGTGCCTTTGAGAAGAATCTAATTAAGTGGAATTAAGAGGGTTAGAAAAAAGGCAATTTAGAGAAATATTCTTATAAAATTTTATTGTTTCTATATTGTGAAACAACAGATTAGACAAATTACTTACTCTTAAGTATTTTTTTAAGCTGAAAGAATTATTTTGAGCAAATAACCAAAAACAGACATGTGACTATTGTGTATTTAAATTTGTTAGCTTTATCTTTCAATAAGTCATCATTGGCCAGAGACAATTTTAGCTACCATTTAAAGAAATGGTAAAGATAATCTAGTAAAACAAAAGTTCATATATGCCATGATTTCAGATGTTTGTAATGGGGATTATACTGGAGTTTTAGAAATACTATAACATAGCTTGAATCTCTTTCTGCACTACATACTTTTGATAGAAACACATGTACTATGTTGATGTTGTGTTACACCTGTAAAAATGGAGTTGGCATTTAGATACATTGTAATTTTTAAAACCAAGATCATTTGCAGGGCTAGTCTTCCCATGATGCATACGAAGATAATTTCCTAATGTCAATAGTAGGTCCATATCTATATCCCCAGGAAAAATGACAGAGGAGTTTGGAGAAAGATTACCTTCATTTTATTGTAGTAAAAAAATGTATGTGTGTGTGTGTACACACACACACACACACACACATATATATATATATATAATTATTTTTTTGAAACAGGAAACCAATATATCAAGTGGTGAATATAAGTATGGTGCAGAATATATAGTTTAAAACTATGAGATGTCACAATATCAAATGGCATAGCTTATACATATAGTGGCTGTGACAAGTGACAGACTGCTAGTTCAGAATTCAAAAACCCTTTTCTAGTTTGTGAGATAATTGGCTAAATTCATTGTGGCAAAGCAAACTGTTTTAGTTTTTGATAAGAGTTCTTAGAAGTTTGTTGGTATTCTTTCATCCACAGCATCCATTGTTGAAACAACCATTTTCAGTTGTGATGCCTTAACTAAGAAGCCAATTGTTGGCCTGAAATGCAATCTGGGTAGCCAGTTCCTTTGAACCTAGACATTAGTCAGACAGACAATGCTAGCTGTTGGGTTTTAGAACAGGGTTTTGAGTCCTTTCATTTCTACTTGGGAGCATTTAGGAGCAGATTAGTCTTTCAGTATAAAAACAAGTGGCTACCTGATGGAATCTTTTTCTTGCCCTTATAGGGAAACTGAGCACAAGCTGAATGATACTGTCTGCTGCAAAAAAGTAAATAAAACAAACTGAGGAGAGACAAAACAGACCAATATTGATCCATCTTACCCATCATCTCATCAGTTCAACAGGCTCCTTGTCCTGGTTGAGCTCATGGTTAGAAGTTTTTTTCTAAAGAAAAGATCTATTACATACATATTTGTATGTATACATATACTTATACATACATACATATGTGTGTGTTTATGTATATAACGGTGCTAATCAATCTTGAGCAGGTCATGTGACTGGTCATGCGGACTCTAAAATCATATCAGATTTTTTAAATTTCTTGATATATGCAGATGTTATACAGGTTTTCTTACCAGTGTAATAATGTTATACTGAAGAAATAACCATCCTGCAGGCTTCAGAGGACTCGGTCAGCAATATTTCCCACCATGGCTTGGGGGAAAAGGATAGTTTTGTCTTCTTTTGTATTCAAATTAATGCATAGTGCATTTTTGTCTCTAAGTAGCTGTTGACTAAAAGACTTTGTAGTGTAAAGGGTGTTCTACAAACTGTAATGGTGTGCTTCAAACAAACAAATGCTAGACCCTTTCACCTTTGTCGTATATTACACAATGTTAAATATGTGGTTTGAATTAACTTTGAACATGTTGAAATATGTAGCATGTGTTTTTAACTCTGACAAAGATTCTAATTGCACAGGTTGTGTTCTAGCCAGTTGTGGTTTATTTGTTCAGAAAAACAAATGTGAATTGCACTCATCACCAGTATATTGTATGAGTTCAGTGATCTTTAAACAGCTCAGAAGTAATACTTGAACTTCATTTGAGTAGCACAAAGTTTACATAGCCCCCCTTTTAAATGTTAATTAGTTCCATTTATGTTTTCATTTTCAAATGCAACTGGGTATTTTTCCTCTTGGAAAATAGTACGCATTTTACTTTGGTATGTAGCAAAAGGCTTCCATTTCTGGAAGGGTTTTCTTGTCCTTAAACGAGGTCAGCCAGGTACCAGATTCTAAAAGAACAATTGCCCCTCACCCCCCTCATTAAGTGGCCTTCTGATTGCACAAGAATGTGCTACTACCCTTTCCAGTCTCCTGTACCATGAGAGGTTGGTGTAATTGATGGAGGAAGTGCAAGGCTTGATCTTTTGCCCCCACCCCACTTAAACAATTATAAGATTTTCAGTCCTGTGCATACAGTCCCAATGCCCAGCACACCGGATGTTGGTATACTGGCCTCTTTTCATGTCTTCAAATGTGCAGGAAATTTGAAACTGTCATCTGGAATAGGTTCCATCTCTTACATATGTTAGATCAAACCAAAGAAGCCCCCAGCCATGCCCAAATGCTGCTCCAAAAGCCTGCCTTCCAGTCCTTACAAAAACCTTGCAGGATTAAGTATGTTAACTTTTTTTATTTTTGTACAATTTCTAAGTGATTTTTGCTAGTGATGTTAAATTTAATTAAGTTTATTTGGGGGTGTGAACACCTCCTCCATTTAAATAAACTGGCGATTTTCCTTTTATTTTTTTAAAGCGGAAACCTGTTGTGTGCCTCTCAATTTAAGGGTTTCTGATTACATTATTCTTAAGACCAGCATTGATCCTTTATATACAAACATACGTTTTCCTTGTTTTTTATTACTGTTTCAGAAGAAAATAACCCTTTTATTTTGCTGTGGACCCAGTAACTGCGCTGGTACATAGACGCACTGAGAAAACACTTTTATAACCACCTCTGACTGTTTTTGTATATCAAAGTTGATTACTTTTGAAATATTTGGATCTAGTTTCTAAGTTATTTTAGTGTTTTATATATTCCCTGAAATTACTTCGAATAAGTCACCAGCATAATGAGTTTTTGGTGATACCATGGTGAGACTTGTAATGAACAAAAGCTACCTGGTGTAGCTTTTCTTTTCCTTCTTTCTTAGGAACCTGTTTTTTGATTACAGTAAGACATCACAGATTACCTGAAACCCCTTCATGTATAACTAGATCCTCCTTCCTTCTACACTTGTTTAATAGTTTGAAGAAAATATTGGAAATGGGCATTTTATATGACATGTATGGCTTTAAAATATGAAAATGAGCAAAAAAAAAAAAGAGGTTTATGTGGGTCTGTAAGGTATGGCTGTGGAAAGATATTGTAGTAGTTTTGACACTATTGTTATTACCTTTAAAATCATTTACCCAATAAAATGTTAAAACTGAGTTACCATTTGTTGTTTCTTTCTTTAACCTGCCTCATAGGATGTTGGTCTCATGGGTACTTCTTACTAAAGCACTCACAGTGGAGGACTTTGAAATAATAAACTTTGGAACCGGCATTAATTTATTTGCAAACTGGCACTTGGAATACCTCACTTACCCGCAGCTGCTCCCTACCATATGATTTGCCTTTTTTCATCTTGCCTAGCCCTGAACCCTAGCTTGGTGAGATAGTCTAGCCTTTTTATTAGACAATCTACCCTAGTCATGAATCTGAGACAAGCACCCAACTTGAATTTATGGGGCAACTTAACTATGCTTAAGTGCACTCCAAATTTCTTCCAAATAATTGTTTTATTGGGTGTTTCCCTTTTATAAGCTGGTTCAGGGCAGTAGCATTGCCATTCAGTGAATCCATCTGATGAGGTAGGAAGCCTTTCTTTTGCCATCAAGGCTTTGCCATTTTTCACTATAGGTCAGAATCTGAAAATACCCAAAATATGGCCCCTTGGAGCTGGTACACATTCATACACACACCAGGCATACCACAAGTTAAACTTATTACCTGTTAACTTTTCCAGTTCCAGAGCAGGATGAGATGAACTCTATTCCCAACTTGAGCTTGGGGAAAACGTCTGAATATATGGCAGAACAACTGGTGCTCCTGACTTTCAAGGGTTAGAGAAGAGTCTGCAGTAAAAAAGGAATATCTTGCTGGGCTACCACTACCAGCTGTTGCCTTATTTCTTTCTCTATAGAAAGGCCATCAAGGACATTGTTGAAATACTTTGGCTTTTTCTAAATCATTTCCGGTCTCAGTTTCATCATGCATATTTCAGGATTAATTACTAGTGAGTATATGTAGGGCAATTTTCTGTTACATTGCCCCAAAGCCCCGTTTCCCATGTGAATTTGATGACACGTGCTTATGTCAATCGTAGTGACTGAGCCATCTCAGATCCTAGAGTATGATTATGGTTTGTGTAGTGCTCCATTAAGGCAGCCATCTGCTCAAGGTTTACTCAGTTTCATTATTCATGTTTAATGGTATATGGGCTTTTTAAGAT